CAATTTTTATCATATACATGGTGTAGAATAATAATTGTCGCACAGGTTTTTTTTTAATAAAAGGGTCCTTTATAGGTCCCTGTACTTTGCCATTCATATTGTGGCTATTACAACTTAGTAAGCAAAGTTGAGTGTGGTAGCAAAAAGTGTAAGCATGGTCGTAGCCAGGTAGGTGCAGGGCGCTCGAGTGTAAAAATCAGAGAAATATTAAATCAATTCTAAGGCTTAGATTAAAAAAACGGCCATACATTCAGGAAGAGTCTGGCATTCCTTTGTGGATTTAGTTATTTATTTTTAACATTTATTGTTGCTTTGAAAAGATATCTTATACCATGTTCGGACCGACATCGAAAACATGTTTTCGTTGCTATAACTGGTTTTCGACCTAAAACTTGTGTTTTCGTACATGTAAAATCCATCAAACGAAAATCAGTTTTCGGTGAAAACTGCTGAAAATTCACGTTCCACTCGTTCCAATCGGTGCCTGCTCTAGTTTTTTTCGATTAATTATCGAAGTGGAAGTCATATATTCTCATCTTTAATATGCCAATGATAAGAAAATGAAATACAAAGATTTTGATTTTCTTTTTTCGTAGCAAAGCTGTAAACAAAGGATGAAAGAAATGTCAACGAAAACACTAACAGCCGGTGCGAACAGCTTTCAGTCCACTTTCCCAAAACTAGTTTTCAAAGTGTTCTCGTTGTCAGTCCGAACATGGTGTAAGATACCTGTGTTTGTTTTTACCTGATTAATGAAAACGGGTGGGACATTTTAACTCTTTTTTTCTCAAACTTGAAGTAATTTCTCTTTAACCTGTCCCAATAAGTAGTAAAGTTCTATGGTGAAACATCTTTTTACTATGGTGAGAAAGTTTTACATTTCTGCTGTGCCAATTCGTAACTTTTTACTGCTGGAAATTTTTGACTGTGGTCTGATGCAGAAGAAGTTGAGCAATTAAAATGCACAAATTATATAAAAAAAAAGATTTGTCTTTGCTGGTTTTAATTCATCTAGAACTGACAGCCATGCATATTACAACAAAAATACTACAAAACTGCCAAGTAGGTGTGTTTATTGCTGTCAAATTTTGCGCTAGCCATGTGGGATAGGCAATGTTTATTCACCTTATAGTTGTCAAAAATTTACAGTCCAGAGTACTTTGCTATCAATTGGCACAGGCCCTAAGTTTCAAAATCCTATCACTTGAAGTAAAGTATCAGATTATTACGAAACTAATAAAGTATTAAACTTAATTATATAATTTTTACAGGAATTTACATTTTCGAAATGGTGGGACAACGATGACCCAATTGTTTCCGAATTTTAGACAAACTATAAATATTTCGTTTTTAATATTTTGATTGAGCTTTGTACCACGATTGCTTATTAGGAAAAATAGAAACAAGCAAATGGATGTATAGAATTGACAACAACAACCACGCTGTCGAGTTTAAATAGCGGCAAATCAGCTGCACTTGATAGTAGTTGGTTGAATAAGGAAAATGAATTAGCAACAAGAGTTTACGGGATGTACATAGCTCAGTGGTTAACGCTTCTGACTTTGAACATCGAATTCGCAGGTTCGATCCCTGCTGAAGTCTAGAAAAAAGAAGTCTGATGAGGAGATGTGGTGATCTCCGAAATAGTGCTATAACTTCTACCGCTTAGACTTTGTTGCTTTTTCAATTTTTCCTAATAAACAATCGTGGTACAAAGCTCAATAAAAATATTAAAAATAAAATGTTAACAAGCCACAATAACATTGACAAATACATAGTTTAGGAAGAGCCTGCCTGAAACTATACAAAAAAGCAAATAAGCAAATGGATGTATAGAATTGACAACAACAACCACGCTGTCGAGTTTAAATAGCGGCAAATCAGCTGCACTTGATAGTAGTTGGTTGAATAAGGAAAATGAATTAGCAACAAGAGTTTACGGGATGTACATAGCTCAGTAGTTAACGCTTCTGACTTTGAACATCGAATTCGCAGGTTCTATCCCTGCTGAAGTCTAGAAAAAAGAAGTCTGATGAAGAGATGTGGTGATCTCCGAAATAGCTGCTATAACTTCTACCGCTTAGACCTTGTTGCTTTTTCAATTTTTCCTAATAAACAATCGTGGTATAAAGCTCATTAAAAATATTAAAAATAAAATGCTAAAAAGCCACAATAACATTGACAAATAACAAATTGTTTTACTGTTTGCTTAACACGCGTTTGTGTTTGGATATAGTGCCAATAAATGTGACAGGTATTGTCTACTCAGATTTTTTTCCTGAGAACCTATTTAAATTCCAAAAACCGAAGGCCAACTTGAATTAAAAGAACCAACACTGAAATGCGTCAAAATGAAAGTAAAGGAGCACAAATTTCTATTTAAAGCAGAACTCTCTGGGAAGACAATACGTTTGTTCGTCGAAAATCCAGCGAAAATTATCACTCAAAATATCAGTTAGTATGAATAAAATGCTCCCAAATTCTCTCTCACGTAGAGAAACTTGCAAATTTCTGCACGAACGTAAATTTGCAGGAACTTGCAAGTTTCCCTGGCAGGTAGTGTCCACGGTTGCATTTCAAACATCAGAAGTTTGTATACAATTTTAAAATTCTTTCAGAGGGGCGAAAAACAGGATCTACATGTATATTTCTTGCTAGTCCAAATTTTTTTAACATACGTTTAAATTTCGTTGCCGTACTAACTGGCGCGTTTCCTGTATGGACTCTGGTTGAGATTGCATTCCGAGTACATTTCAAATCATTGGAATTAACTAAATTAATTAAGTAAAAAAGTATTTACTTAAATTTTTCATTTTGAAATCGCTCAAGCTTGTAAATTTTTAAATTTGACGAATCTGTTTATTCAAATTATTGTCGACAAAAAATGCAACCATGTGCCACAATCATTTGTTTTTCCTAATTGCGAATTCTTGCTGGCAAAATTTTTTCCAGCTTGATTTTGCAACTTCTCTCCAAGACTAGTCTTTCTACTTACGATTTATTTAAATAAAACATGTGAAATTTAGTTGAAACAGTTTAGCCGTTTTTAGCCGTTTTTTTGCCAATTTAGCCGGTTCGTCCAAAAACTTCTGGCAGCACTGGTCCGCACACAGAGCAGAAGGGTAGTTCACCTTAAGCAGTCGGTGAGTTCAGTTGTACAGTTCCGTTTGCGCGAACCTTTTACTCAAAAGTCGTTTCCTTTCGGTTTTCGGTCTTTCGTGCCATACTCAACCGTGAATTACTTAACTTCTTTAATTATACATATTCTAATAGCAAACAAAACATAATTAAATTTCATATCAACGGGAAATAAAGACTAAAGTTCGTTTTCCTTAAATACATATATTTACTTTTTGGTAATTTGTAACAATAAATTGCACAAAAAATTAAAAACATTGTACTCCTTTTTATATAGAAAATAATATTGGTGCTGGTGGAAACTAAACAGTCAAAATTTTATGCTCTCGTTGTATTTCATTTAAAATAAATTTTTTGGTCTCTGCGTTGGCCTGGAATCGTTGTGCGTATATAATAGTGTATCCTGCATCTCTGACGTTCGGACTTGGGTGTGTTTATTGTGTTTGGCAGCTGTTTTCCTGTATCTGGAGCTTCGCTGCTGCCCTGCTGTTGGTCTGCTGTCGTTTGTTGGTGTTTTGTTTGTGGATCTGCCTCTGCCTATTTGTCTTTTGTCGCTGAGGCCAGGATTGGACGCATACAAGTGGGGAATCTTTGTTTTCGGATAATCTTGTAAATTACAGTGAATTTGCCTGAATTTTGGTATTGTGTGCTAATTGCAAGGCTTACATACATATATACATCAAATTCACTGTTGTCTGTTTGTGCTCTACTCGCTATTTTCTGTCTGCTAGAGTTGCCACAATGCCGGTAAAGCGTGCACCCACAAAAGATTTTGCATATGCCCAACCTAGCGCAAGCAAAAGGAGAAACAGTGAGCTTTCGCCAGACCATAATGCTTTAATTAACGCCAGCGTTTCCTCAAATGATATTCTGGAGATTATTAGAGCCACTATGAATTCTAACCTCGATGAAAAACTGAAACACCTGCCGTCGAAAGAAGACTTTAACCAACTTAAGTCAGAAGTTGTCTCACTGTCTTCGGAGCTAGGTGCCCTACGACGGCCAAATTTACAGCTGCGGTCGGAACTAGAAAAAATGAGACACGAAGCTAACGAAACTAAGGCGACATTACGTTGGTTAGAGAACCTAGATCCAAGAAACAAAATTGTCTTCCATGAGTTACCAGCTGCTAATGATGTCTCTCTCGGGGTTGCGAAGGTGCTCAAAGATAAATTTGGTAAAAATTCTGCAATTGTTAAAAGTAAGAAAATCTTAGAGAGGAATGGAAAAATGAATGTTATCGCGGAACTCGAGAGGGAAAATGATGTTACAGATATCTTCAAGCATAGCAGAAATTTGGCTGGATCGGCCATTTACATTGAAAGGGATTTATGTCCATCCATGCAAAAGCAGAAAAAGGCTATGCTGTCTCTGGAGAGGTCATTATCCAGTTATAAAAAAGGGTGTAAAATTAAAGTTTTCGACAACAAGTTGATAATCAACGAACATCGTTTGCAGTTTGACTCCGAAGGCGCACTACGCTTTGGTAACCGGGATGGAAAAGCTGTTCTAATAGAAGTCTTTGGCAAATCGGTAGAAGATCTCCCGAAACATATAAAAAATTTAGTTGCAACGCCAAAAAAAAACTAACTGCAGTATCAGCCCTCTACTCACCTTAATCAACATCGTCAATTAATACTTTTAATGTTTGCCGTTTATTATCATACAATGTAGCGAATTTAAGCTTTAAACTGCTATTTCATGGATTTTTTAACTATATCCTTACTTTTGACATTATCGTTCTATTTGAAACGCATATAATATCAGAAACCAGATCTAAATTCTCTCACCATTTTAAGAATTATAATCTACACTGGATAGATGCACTGAAAGTTCACAAAGCTGGCCGTGCCAGTAGAGGTTGTTTATTTGCACCCCTATTGCGAGTGTCGATTAGCAGTAGAATAGACATTTTTCTATTGAGTCGATCATATTTTATTTTGGTATTGCGGAACTGAATCGATAAACAATTGTACAATTGTGAATGGCTTACTGAATTGCAATCAGCTGTTTCGGTGTTTGTTTACATTTTTGATATATTTGGCAAATAAAATAAAATACAATTGTCCAAAACTTTTCAATTTAACAATTTAAAAAAGAAAATACCACTAATGGATAGTGTCGACGTGTGGTTCAGTGATAGTGATGACGAGGAAAGTGAAAGATTAGTAGAGTTAGCAAGAACGAGGAGGATGTTGAGGGATTCGTCTAATCCTCTGGAATTGGAGGAAAATATGTATGTATACGGTTTCAACGGTGCGTAGTTGATACAAACGTAATCAATCTATATTTTTTTAAGATTTTTGAAAAATTTTCGTCTTCCGAAGGCTGCATTTACGCATTTGCTCACACTATTAGATAGCAAACTGCAAGCTGGCGTTAGAAAAACATCAGTTCCAAATATTTTAAAGTTGGCAGCGACTTTGAGGTTCTGTGCTCAGGGGTCGTATCAGCTAAGTGTCGGGAACGAAAGTTGTATTGGGCTTGGCCAATCTACGGTGTCCATAATTTTGGCGGAAGTATTCAATGCTTTGGAGGAATGCGTCTGCAGAGATTGGATAAAAATGCAAAACAGTGAAGAGGAAAAACGAGAAACAAAGTGTTATTTCTTTGGGAGGAGCGGAATACCCGGAGTAATAGGCTGCATAGACGGTACGCACATCAAAATTGTTTCCCCAAAAAAGGAGCATCAGCATTTGTATTACAATCGGAAGGGATTTTTCAGCTTGAATGCAATGATAGTGAGTATTTATAAAGGAAATGCAACAATGGAGTTTATAATCTTTCTTCATTTATAGGTTTGCGACAACGCCATGCGAATCCGCTATATCAACGCGAAGTACCCTGGAGCTACGCATGATGCTAATGTTTTTAATATGTCTGCGTTGAAGCAACAATTAGAAGAAGAGTATCGTAGTGGCGAGCGAAATATGTTATTAGGTATGCTATGGCTAATTTATGTAGACATTCGAATGGTTGTGTCATAGCTATTTCCAATTTTAGGTGATGGAGGGTATGCCTTACAACCCTATATGCTTACGCCATACCGAAACCCAGAGCCCGGATCAGCAGAATGTATGTTTAACGGTAAACATTCTCAAGGGCGGAATATTGTGGAACGCACTATTGGGGTGCTCAAAAATCGTTTTAGGTGCTTGTTAGTCGCTGTTTTTTTGCATCAACTCCACTAATCGCGCTAGTTGCTTTTTGTTACTAACTAATTTTAATATAATTATTTTATTACTTTTATTTATGTATATTTTTATTTATTTTCTTTAAATTTGCTTACTTTTTATCCATTTTCGTTCTTTTTTCATCAACTTTACTCTCCAACGACTAGAAAATGGCTGTAGAAAGATGATCGATTAAAAAGCATTCACAGTCGCTTGCTGAGCGATCATTCGACACTCGCAATAGTTCGATAATCGATAATCGCTCAGTAGTCGATTATCTATTCTTGTTCGACACTCGCAATAGGGGTGTTGGTTTCAGGAATTCTATTCAAGGTGTTTATGAACTCAAGTTTTTGACTATATTCGGTTATGTTGTTCTGTTAGCCAGACTCGGTGAAGATGATTTTTATTTTATACCGCAGTATATAAACGGTACAAAGTGGAGCGAAGAATTCAAACTTTTTCAGGAGTTTATAGACTCGTTGAACCCGTCCTCGTTTTGCATTGTGGGTGATCTTAATGCGCGTTTAGGAGATTGTCAAATAATAGATAAGCATCTTCTTATGGGCTTGCCGGGTATTGACGAGCGTAGAAACTCTAAAGACACTGTTGTGGACCGCAAGGGTAGACAATTGCTTAGTCTAGTTGATGATATAGGTGGAGTAATTCTAAATGGCAGGAATTCCGGCGATTTTATGGGCGAATTCACGTTTTTTGGTGCAACAGGCAGTTCAGTGATTGACTATGCGATCTGTTCGTTTGACTTTCTAGCTTGTATAAAACGTTTTAATATTGAAAGTAAAGCTTCTTCTGATCACATGCCCTTAGTGTTGGAAATTGATAGCCAGTGTACTGAACTCTTGCATACACAAAATAACTTCCCGCCTAAGCTAATCTGGAAACCAAAGTACCAGAAGTCTTACTGCTATCGTCTTAGTTCTTCTATTAGGTATGACTATAAAAATTAAAACATTTTAAAGGCGTCTATGGATATGTAAAAATATCGTGGTTCATGCAGAAGATAGAATCAGCGGCAAATGTTGGCGCGAAGAAACAGTTTTTCGCTACTAAAAGTGCTTGGTTTGACTGTCAATGTCAAAACGCGCGTGCAAAAATTCTAAAATATCTTAATCTCTTTAGAAAATTCACTACCGACGAACTAAGAATTAAATGCGTTTCTTGTTGTACAGATTACTTAAAGCTTTGCAACAAAAAAAAAAAAAAAAACTGGAAAATTGGAATAAAAATATCGACCTCCTTAACACAGTTAGTAATACTAGTGATTGGTGGCGGCTTGCTAACTCGTTGAAAAAATGTCCGTCTAGCGTTACTACAGGCTTATCCCTGTCGGACTTTTATAGCCATTTCAGTAATCTTTTGTTCAACTCCAATAGTGAACTCTGTATTCACTCGGCTATGCCCCACATAACTGATCCGTTTCTAGATGCCCCATTTGAAATGCGTGAGCTACGACCAAGAATAATAAAGCCCCTGGTTTAGATCGCGTCAGCTACGAATTCTACAAATACGCACCGCCATGTTTTCTTGAAGAGGTTTTGTCACTATATAACTCTATTTTGCTTAAGGCAGAAATTTCTCCGTCCTTCCGCAAGGCGGTACTTATTACTCTTTTCAAGAAAGGCGATTCCTCTATTACTTCCAACTATAGAGGCCTCTCCCTGCTGGACACTCTGCATACAATTTTTACTGGGTTGTTGCTGAGTCGCATCAACGTCTGAATCGACCATAACAGAATCATTAACGAGTTTCAAGCTGGTTTTCGCAAAGGCTAAGGTAAAAATAACAGCTTTTTTACAAAAAAAAAACGTAATAGTTTCTCAACGGAGTAATTTCTATTTACACCCCAAACTTATGCACCGTAGAACATGATCGGCCTTGAGGCAGCGTCAAAGATTTTAAGTTTTTCCGAAACACAAATACGAGGATTATTTACATATTTTAACAATGTCGAGTTAATAGCTTTCTTTGAGTCAAGAAGTTTCAACTCCAAGTGCTTGTTGTATGCGAGTTTGTAATTTAAAGGAACTCCTAAATACTTAAAATCATTGACAACTTCGATAACTTCATCTCTATAAAACCACTTCTGCCCTGCAGGTAACCTGCTCCCTTGCCTGAAAACCATAACTTTTGATTTCGCCAGGTTAACTTTCAGTCCCCACTGTGTGCTGTAACTGCGCATAGTATCGATCATCGTTTGTAGTTCCGTAGGTGAGTCAGCCAGCAACACTAGATCATCAGCATACATTAAGACTTTAATGTTTATACCGACTACATGAACACCACCATTCAAGTAGTCATTAAAATCATTGAGGTACAGTGCGAACAGTGTCGGGCTTAATAAAGGTGTTCTTACGCGATATGTATTTGCATATGTAAATGTGACTTCTTCAATACATATGTAATTGCGAATGCCTGTCAAATTCAGAGTCTTTATTTTACTATTTAAAAATACGTTCTTTGAAAACGAAATAAACTAAACTCAAATGATTCTACCTGTGTGCCAGATGAAAATAGAAACATTTCTATTTCGTATGTACGTGCATCTGCTTTGTACAGAAACCAGTTTTATTTGCCTCTACACCATAAGTTGGCATTTCGTTATGTAAAAAGTGGCATGTACACATGCAAATACATATCGTGTAAGAACACATTAAGCATCCCTGCATTACGCCTTGATTAACTGGGAATGATTCGGACAGCTGATCCCTAAACCAAACTTGGTTTGTAGTGTCCCCATATAGCAGGCGTAGAATATTAATCATATGGCTTGAAAGACCGTACGACGCTAATTTATAAAATAGCATATTGCGTGGGATAGTATCAAACGCGCACGAGAAATCGACAAAAAATGCAAAAGTCTTACTTTTCTTACTAAAATTTAAATGTACGATACTAGTTAAGTTAAATATATTGTCAATAGTTGCCTGCTAATACGCCCAACTACATGATCTATCTTGAAACTGGCCTGATGTCACAATATTTACACACCCTTCGGGCGCACATTTTATTTATATTGCGGTGTCTCAGCCTGCCGGCTCACAGATTTCCGCGTATACTCGCTGAAGAAACTGTGCAATCTGGCTGCTATTGGGTTGAAAACTGGCGACGCGTCTCCCGCAGTGCAGGCGTGACTCTGCTCACGGACTTCTCTCCAGCTTCTACTAAAGCTTATATACCGACACTGCTAGAAAAGCTTACTCAAATAGAATTCGCATCGCATCTGTCTAGGGCCCAAAATTCGACAATGCATGATATCTATCCATACCTTGATCTTGCCACTGCTAAATATTTTAACAGCAACCTCCCTACTTACGCTAAGAGTTTGATTTTCCGCGCCAGACCGGGTCTCTGTAACCTTAATGCTAGGGCTTTCAAAAATACTGCTTCTGATATTTGTCCAACTTGCAACTTGAGACTGACTGAATGAAAACACATACCATTTTATTGGCGTTTGCCCTATTTATAAAAACATACGCGTACATTACTTTGGTGAGAAGGATTTGGATATGTCAAAAGTACTAGGCATTTTATATGGCTCCAATGATTTCAAATTGAACAAATATCTGTCAGACAGTCTTAAGCATAGAGAAGTTATATTAAATGTATTCTCGTAAAGTGATATATGTTCGAATGTGTAACAGTATTCTCCACTAAAATTTAATATACAAGCATCGTATCTATTTTCCCGACTCACGACAGTTTTATTGTCACAGTCGTCTTTTCTTTTCTTTTGTTATTATTATTATTTTCTTTATTTTTATTTTTACTTTTCTTTAACTCAAATTTACTAAAAAAAAATTGTTTTGGAATAAACACTCCGTTCCGGAAATTGTACAATAGTTATAAGTATTGTAAAATTGTAGCATACACATTCTCAATAAAAGAAAATATTTACTACTACTCCTTTTTTATATTTGTACTGCTTATTTTTCTATCGAAAATAAAAATGTACTCCCTTCTTCGTTTAAGAATCTGGCAACCCTACTTTTTTCCCTAAGCCCATACAAAACTAACCGCTAAACTGACGAAAAGTTTTAGTCAGTTTTCCTACTAAGTTAACCGATAATCATAGGTCAGGCTTCTTGCAGGGTTAGGGATGAAACGATACCAGCGAGTACAAGTAATACTCGATGCTTTTGTTCCGATACCAAGTATTTTTTTAATCGATACTTTCCTTTGAATAAATTGGGTCGTATTCATATAGAATAGCATGTGCTTATAGATTCCAAAATATGAAGGAAATTATACTGCCTGTATTCATACAAATTTCGAGCAGAAGCTTACATTTTTCGAGTAGTAGCATATCTTTTTACTCATATAAAAGTACATGGGTATGCATAAACTCTACCTTTTTACTTTAAATAATAATTGTGTTCCTTATCTCCCAGAAATAGTCAGAAAAAGTCCGAAGTAGTCAGAAGCAAAAACTGCGAAAAAATTTTACATTGTCACGGTTTTCGCCATTTTTTGGTAATTTCAGTTGAAAATACATAGCATATTGAAAATACAAAGTTGTAGAGAATTTTATTCTTCTCAACATTTTTTTTGTACGACGCTTACATCACGGCCGGGAACGCGATAAACGTAGCGATGTACGGGGTGCGCCGTAAAACTATTTCGACACCACCGCTAAGCTAGAGTTTTTCGGCGCGATTTTTAACGTGGTTTCCCCAGTAGGCCTATTCCACGGGAAACGTGTTTTTTAATTAAAGCAGGTGAAGGTGTGGAAAAGAGTTTTACGGCGCATCGCGTACATCGCTATGTTTATCGCGTTCCCGGCCGTGATCTAAGCGTCGTACAAAAAAATGTAGGTATAAAAGTCGTGAAGAATAAAATTCTCTATAAATTTGGAATTTCAATATGCTATCTATTTTAAACAGAAATTGCCAAAAAATGGCGAAAACCGTGACAATGTAAAATTTTTTCGCAGTTTTTGCTAATTTTTTTACAATAAAAAATGCTATTTTAAGAAAACCTTCTGTAGAACAAATGTGAGAAATTAAATTCTCTATATACTTGTATTA